GGGGCCAAGCAATGTCATTAAAAATCCTTTAGCATTAGACAGGGAAGGGATATAGTGTTGAAATTGTTCAAACAGCTCGTTAGCTATTTTGGCCACTTCAGTGCCCAGCGGTGGGGCTTGTTCTAATCCGGCAATTTGCCTGTGAAGCTGAAAAAGATCTAAAGACAAGTTATTATGGTGCCAGATACCATTAAGATGTGCTACAACCTTTTCCCATGAGTAATTTGATTCATTATATATATGAGGAGTCACACAAATAAAATCAAACCTGGCATGACAGCGCACTCCCTGTAAAGTTTGCAGAGCGCGAACTTGTTCTCCTAAAGATAATACTGACTCATATAAGGCTTCTAGTTTTTGTTCTACCTTATCATCAATCCTACCTTGAAAGTGTAGAGCCTGTGTAGTATTATGAGCAAGCTGATTAAGATAATGGGTAGTTTGTACATTTTGAATTAATGCCACAGCAGCTGCTGCTGAGGAGGCAGCTAACGAAATAAAGGCTAGAACACCAGCTATAAGTAGCCCAACAAACCTACGAGGGCGCATTAGTTCTTTCAATTGTTTTAACACCTGAATACCAGAATCTTCATACCAAGTTTCAGAAATATTTACAGGAAGCATAACAAAAGGTGGTTGTCTAACAATAAGTATGGATTCAGTTATGCCACTATATAAGCAATTAGTAAAAGAACAATTAGAACAGGTAACATTAAAATAATTAGCTCCTACTGAATTATTAAATGGTCCATACATAATAACATGGGGTGGGGATACACAACTCATAATTTTTTTAAAAGGGATGAATTGGGCCACGTTATATTATTAAGTGCAGCCACCTCCAAACATGATGTCGAGGATGCCCATTCATCCACCACAATCCAGGATTGAACTTATTAGTAAGATTAGCTCCAGACCAATCCAATAATTGAGAATTAGTTCCAGAAATATTGGTAACAAATGGCTGTACATGCCTGCACCTTATTGGATGAGGCTCTCCTGTAGATTCTATCTGTGAAGAATTAATGCAACGGGGTATCCTATAGGACGGAGTAGAATTTGCATAAACTAATTGGCCACCTGGCAAGGATGTCATTTGTATATTGTATATTAGATTTTTGTCTGGGATCTGAATTTTATGAGTCATGGATTGCATAAAAGTACAGCCTGGAATGGAGCTTTTAAAATTGGTGGTAAAACATAAAGGAGTTCCAACACCTGAAGCTATGAAATTTCCTATTTTTATATATTGGATGAAAGGATCGGGGGCTGTACCGTATGCTGATCTATTAACATGAATGAGTACGTCAACTCCCTCCCAGGTGGCTGGGTGCACAGTCGGGGAATCCGGCATGTAAGCCCAATGGGTCAGCGTTTGTGTCATCTGCATGAGTCTCCACAATCCTAACGCAGCGTTCAGGCAACCAGCGGGTGTCATTTTCTTCCTGCGAGAAAACACAAACATATCCTCGACCCCATGTTAAAACCGTATTGGGCCCATGCCAAGCACCTGTTAACGGATCCTTCCACTTTACTTGAGCAAAAGCTCTTTGCTCTTTTTTTTCCCAAAACTGCTGTGCTGCAGAAAGGCCATTACAATCTAAGTTTAAAAAATTTAGTACAAACAAAGCATGAGAAAGAATATTAACAGGAGAGATGGGGTATAATTCCCCACCTTTTAATTTAAAAATTTGATGTTTGAGCAAACCATTAGCTAGTTCAACAATTCCTTGACCTTGAGGATTATAGGGAATACCTGTAGAGTGAATAATCTGTTAAGATTTACAAAAATTTTGAAAAGCTTGTCCTACATATCCCGGATCATTGTCAGTTTTAATATATTTAGGAAGTCCCATACTGGCGAAACAAAGCAGAGAATGGGAAATACAATGCTTGCTAGTCTCCCCAGCAAGGGGAGTAGCTATAATAAAATTAGAATAAGTATAGTAACATGAACAAAGCGAAGCCGTCCAAAGGATGGAATATGAGTAATGTCCATTTGCCAGATCTAATTGGCAACTAAACCTCGAGGGTTAATTCCAATGGAGGGCACTGGTAAGAAAGTAGTACAACTAGGACAGGTCTTTACAATTTGACGAGCTGCCTCACGAGTGATTTGAAATTGTCGGCGTAAAGCATGACTGTTTTGATGATGGATGGCATGTGATTGTTTTGCCAAATCAATTTGAGTAAGAAAAACTTGAGTAGCCTTGTCTGTAATAGCATTGCCCTCACTTAATGGACCAGGAAGTTTATTATGAGCACGTATAAATCCAAAATAACATGGACAAGTGCGAGAGTGAAGAAGAAGCTGTACTTGGCGAAAAAGAGTTTGAATAGTGGAATTTGCTGCTCCAAGAAAGGGGACAGTTTCAATAACCCGAAGGGCTCGAATAACATAATGACTATCTGAATATAAATTAAAAGCACTAGTAGGCAGAAGCGTAAGGGCCTGTAAAACTGCTTGAAGCTCAACTTCCTGGGCTGAAGAAAGACCAGTATCCCAGGATGTAGTATTTCCATCAATAGTAAGAGCAGCCATTCCATTAGATGATCCATCTGTAAACACTAAGGCAGCCATAGAAAGAGGTGATAAAGATACCACGTGAGGAAATATGAAAATATAAGAAGAGGCAAATTGAAGCAATTTGTTAGAGGGATAATGATGTGAAATTGTGCCCATAAAGTTAGCCCAAGCAATAACCCAGGAATCACAATGAAAATAAAGCCATTCCTGCTGTTGTAATGTATAGGGAATATAAATAACATGTGGATCTCGTCCAAGATATTTACAAGATTCCACACGGCACATGTGAACTAAAGTAGCCACCAATTCATAATAAGGAGTTAATACTTTTGAAGGAGTAGCAGATAAAGAAAGCCATAGAAGGGGTTTCTTCTGCCAGAGGACCGCTGTGGGAGAATGAGGTGTAGTTAAAATATAAGCTTCCCAAGGAGCTGAATAATCAATATAATTTACATGTTGGGAAGAGATAGCAGAATTTACTATTTTTAAAGCTTTAGCCGCTTCAATTGTTAATTCTCTGAGGGATGCAGGGTTAGGGTCTCCTTTTAACAAATCAAATAAAGGTTTTAATTCAGCTGTAGATAATTTAAGATAAGGGCAAAGCCAATTAATATCTCCCAGAAATTTCTGAAAACCATGTAAAGTAGGCAAATGAGAAGTTTTAAACTGTAATTTTTGACTAGTAAAATAATAAGGACCCAAAATATAACCAAGTTAAGTGAACGGAGGATGCTCTTGCACTTTATCATTGGCTACAATTAATCCAAAAGAGGTAAGGTCTAGTTTTAATTGTCCAAAAACTTGTCGTAGTACTGTAGGGTTTAAATGAGCTAACAATATATCATCCATATAATGAATAATATAAACGGAAGGAAATTTTTGGCGAGTAAAAGAAAGAGCCCGAGCTACAAACTTTGACACAAGGTGGGGCTATTTGCCATGCCTTGAGGCAATACTAACCAATGGTACCGTTTTATGGGTTCTTTAAAATTAGTAGAAGGGACACTAAATGCAAAACGTTTGCAATCTTGAGAGGCAAGGCGTATGGTATAAAAAGTCTTTTAAATCAATTATTATTTTGTATGTATTTTGTGGAATGGCCATTGAGGAGGGCAAAACTTGTTGTAACGGCCCCATAAGTTCCATAGTGACATTTACTCGCCAGAGATCTTGAAGAAGTCTCCATTTTCCAGATTTCTTTTTGATAACAAAAATAGGTGAATTCCATGGAGAAGTAGAGGGAGCTATATGGCCCAATTCCAGCTGTTCCTGCACCAGCTGCTGGGCAACAATAATCTTTTCATTTGATAGGGGCCACTGATCCACCCACACCGGAGTTTTTGATAACCATGTAATAGGATCGGCGTGAGGGGCAGGATGAGCAGCAGCCCCCGCTAAAAATATCCTAAACCTAGTCTATTTGGTCGGGGCTGTGGCTGAATGGGCTCTCGAATGCCTTGTTGACCAATCCCCAGTCCCCCTGAAGGTAACAGTCCTTGATCTAAGAGTTGTCGAGTGACTACATCATTTGGACTAAACAAATAAACTCCCATTTTTTCCATAATATCTCTCCCCCACAAATTAATGGGCAAATGATCCAGCACATAAGGCTGAAAAGTTCCAGAATGGCCCTCATCATCTTTCCAATTGAGAATAGCACTGCATTGCTGTGGATCTATAGCATGGCCAATTCCTTTTAAGGATGTGAGAGAGGCAATAAGGGGCCAGTGAGAAGGCCAATATTTTTTTGCTATTACAGATACATCTGCTCCAGTATCCAGCACACCTTGAAAAGGCTTTTCTTGAATATAAATTATAAGTTCAGGCCTTCCTTGTTTTATATTTTGAATCCAAATTACATCTGAGGCCCCAAAATATTTTGTGCCTCTAGGGACAGAAGTAACAGAATTTCCAACAGAGATTAAAGGAACTAGGACCAGCTGAGTGATTCTTTGCCCAGCAGAAATAGATATAACTCCAGTAGGCGCTGAGGCCATAATTTTTATTTCTCCAGTATAGTCTTGATATATCACTCCTGGGGTAATATGTAGGCCTCTCAATTCCAAGCTACTGCGGCCTAATAACAGACAAACAATTCCTTTTGGAATGGGGCCAACTATGCCCGTAGGCAGAGCTTGAACTCCCATCTCAGGAGTTAATACTGTGTAGGTGGAGGAACAGAGGTCCAATCCTGCACTTCCTGGGGTTGCTCTGAGGAGACTGGAAACCGTTTGTTGTTGCTGTTGGTTGCCAGCAGGTAGGCTTGAAGCCGTGAAAAGGACGGGGCTGCCCCGTTTTTTTGTTGAGGGGCCAGGGGCTGGCCCCTCTGCCAGTTTTCCAGAATCAGATGGCCAGCACTATCAAAAGCAGATTTACAATCCCTGGCCCAATGTCTTCCCTTATTACATCGGGGGCATCTCCTTAGTTAAGCTCCCTTTTTCTGATTAGGACATTGAGTTATTAGATGGCCCATTTAGCCGCAAGAAAAACAGCTGCCAGGAGATCCTGCAATTCGGGGACATCTTCCTCCATTTTTGCCTCCCTGGGGAGAGCGGAGGAATTCAGTTATGGTTTGTCCCTGAAGTGCAGCAGCCAGTGTGAGGCCCTGCATATAGGATGAGCCAATGTCAGCACAGAGCCGAATATAATCAGTTATTCCTCCTTTTTTTCTAAGTGGTCTAATGGCTGCTTGGCAAGCTGCATTAGCATTTTCATATGCCAATTTTACAAGAACCATACCGGCATCCCCATCTTGGATGAGACGGCTTGTTGCCTCTAGTAACCGAGAGACAAAGTCTTGATAAGGTTCATCTGGTCCTTGTCTAATTTTAGAAAGATCCTCAGTCTTATTAGAGTTAGGAAGTTTCTTCCAGGCACGCTTAGCAGTGGCATTAATCTGAGCATATGCGCCCACAGGGTAATTTAACTGGGTATGGATGTCATTATAAGCACCTTCCCCAGCAAGCTTTGCAAAAGTAGTAGGTATATTATTAGCCCTATTAACCTCTGCTGTGGCCTGACACTGTTCCACAAATTCAGACTTCCACAACAAGTAATCTCCTCCACTAAGATAAGCTCTGGCTAATTGTTTCCAATCATAAAGCATCAGTGGACAATGTTTCCAAAATTACCTGCGTAAATGGAGCTGTAGGTCCATATTGAGCGCAAGCGTTTTTCAAGTCTCTTATTTGTTTAAATTGAATAGGTTGGTGAGTTCTTTGTTGGTTTTGGTCCTCCAATACAGGAAATAAATGAAAACCAGAAATATCCTCCCCTCTTTGATCAGCCTGTGCTAATGAGAGCTGCAAGGCACTATGCCTGGGAGGGCAAATAGCCCCTGTCCCAAGAGGGAATTCATCATTAGGAGGACTAGATAACTTCAAAGGCCTGGGCCAACTAAGCTGTGCAGACCGAGTAGACTGCCCCTGGGGAATAACAGGCAGAGGGGGTGGCGGAAAGAAATCTGAGTCCCCTAGAGCTGTTAAAGAGGGCTCACAAACATTCACCCTTAAAGGGGGTCGTTGCATTGCTTCAATCTGTGACAATTTTTTTCATAAAAGAATTTAACATTTCCTCAAAATGGACTGTTTTATCCTCAATAGGCTCATCATATATTTTTTCCTCAGTATCTGAGTCATCTGACTTTTCCTCAGCATCCGAGCCATCTGAATTTTTCTCATTTTCTGACTCAATAGATTCAACTTTTATCAATGTATTTGATTTCTTTTGGGCAGCAGTATGTGCTCCTGGGGCAGGGCGAGACTCGTTACCCTGTCCAACTTTCCTAATCAACTGATTAAATTTTATTTGTTCATGTCTGGGGTCCAGAGAGTCTCGAACTAAATTCCAAAGTGTAAAAGCATCCACTGGGGTTTTTTCAGGGCCACTTGCATCATAATGCTCCTGAATCATTTTTCCTATTTTTTGCCAAGTTTCTAAACTAATGGTTCCTTCCTCCGGAAACCAGGGGAATACTTCCTCAATAAAGCGAAAGAAGCTCTCTAATTGACTCTGTCCAACTTTTACTCCTAGAGCTTGAATCATGCCCTTAAGAGCCTGCACATATAATGTGCGGCTGTTTCCTTGACCCATAATTTCTTACTCCCGACTATACTATCACCCACTCTTTTTCCGGACACGTACTCTTACCTTAGCGGGGTCCTCTGCCTTGATCCCAGGTTTTCAGGGTCCCTGTTCAGGCGCCACTTGCCGGAACCAGCTGGCAATGAAAGAGACTCCTGATTTAGGGGGCGAGGACGGAAAAATAAAGACATAAGACAAAGGATGGGGTCGGGAGGTCTGCAGCTCAAGACTGCAGCCCCGTTTATTTTTAACTCTCCTTATTTGTACTATTAGAAGTCAAGGGGTAGCCTAAGGTCACCATAGTGCAGAAAAGCAAGGAAAATTTTAATAAAAACAAGGGTGCAGAAAGAAACAAGACCAGGTCATCTGATAGAAAGTAAAACAAATTCTACAGACATAGCAAGGCAAACCCGGACACCTGGTGTTTTTCATGAAAGCCAGTTCCTTGTACGTGCCTTCAAGTGAGCACAAGGGTCAAGATGAGGTTGGAGCTTTACTGTCAGCTCCCAACAATTCTTCCATTCTCCTTTTTACAAAATTACGTGATTATAAAGCGTGATTTAGAAAGGAAGTGGCTTCACGTTCCACATAGAAGTAATGCTTTCTCTATATCACTCCCATAAATCTACATACTCAGCAAAAGTAGGTGCACTGAATCCTTTGGGAAGATTAATATTGACTTCATCATTCCTTTGGGGGAAAATTAAAGCCATATTTGCACTTTTTTGTTGATTGTGGGGATTGGACACTGATCCTGGGCACTGTCTCTCAGCATTTCAGCTCAACTTGAATGCTGTACCACTTTAGCTACAGCACCACTTCTGGGTTTCTGATGGCTAATTGAAGATAAGTGTTTCATGGACTTTCCTGACCAGGCTGGATTTGAACCACAATCCTCTGGTTTTAGCTAGGATTAGAGGCAAGAGCCACCAGCACCCGGCTCATATTTGCATTTATGTTCACTTAATGACACTATGTAGACAGAGAATGGAAATTTGAACCAAATGATGACATTGCAGCTTTTCAGAAAAATTGAGGTAGCAATAAATATCTCCTCCTTTTCCATTTTGTTACATTAATGACTCATGAGCTATGGGACCCTTACATTAGCATCCTGTGACATATGTATAGGTGTATTTAGTATTAGGAAATGTTCATAGAGAAATATAGAAAGACAGATTTTTAGAAAACAAAGGATATCAGGTATGAAAGAACAGCATAGAAGGAGACACATTTATCTAGCCTAAGAGATTTAGAATGCTAAAGCAATGAGGAATAAACCTAGTTGATAACTAGTTCTTCAATAACCAAAAATGGTTCACTAGAACTGTTTCTGCTATACCTTAGCTACTATCATTTTTTTGCTTCCATCTGGAGTTATTCCTTCTCTTCTATCATGACTGTTAATTAGCTTCTGCCTTTTTGGTGCTATGACTGGTCAAAATGATTTCCAAATCTCACTTAGACTACCCTTCTCATTGTGATTAGCAGTGACCCCTCTCAAAATCCTGGAATCTTTGAATTTCCAGAATTAATCTTCACCTGACATCTAAGCACATTCCTGGCATTAATTGCCCTGAGCTAATGAACAAAACTTTTTTTCAACACAGTATCCTAATATAGGTAACGTACATGAATTAGTGACTATTATCAAGTATCAATATGGAAGGAACAATTATATATTCCAAGTTTGGATTCTTTATCTTGCATTTACTAACTAAATGTTCATTGTTGTTGTTGCTGCTGTTGTTGTTTTGGCAGTCCTGGGGCTGAAACTCAGCGCTTGGGAATTATTCCTCAGCTTTTTTTTTTTTTTTTTGCTCAATTCCTACCACTTGAGGCACAGGACCAATTCCAGTGTTTCTTTTTCTGTTTATGTGTTACTGAGGAATTGAACCCAGGGTTTCATGCATGCTAGGCAATCACTTTACCATGAAGCCACATTCCCAGAACCCTAAATGACTCTCTTAAGATGACATTAAATTTTCATTCCATAGCTATGTATCATAATTTTAACAAGAAATTTTTGCTAGAAAAGGTCATTGATCACAGTACTGAATCCAGTACGGCTAGATAGACAATGAATAACTGTCACGGTTCACGGTCTAGCCAGGGCACAGAGGGACTTACCTCATGGAGCTGATACAACAGACTGAGCGAGACAGCTCCTGACCCACAGCCCACCTCCAGAATGAGAGGGCCACCTTGGTTCCAACTACATTGGGGATGCTGGGCCAACTCTTCCAGCACCCATTCAATCAGTTCCTGAGAGAGAGAAAAAAAAATAAAGAAGGTCAAAATTACACTTAAGCCAGGTACCTGTTGCTCAGGCCTGTAATCCTAAGTACAATGGAGGCAGAGATATGAGGATTGTGGTTTATAGCCAGCCCGGGCAGGAACACCTGTGAGATTCTTATTTCCAAAGAACCACCAGAAAACTGGAAGTGGCCCTGTGACTCAAGTGATAGAGTGCTAGCTTTGAGCTGAGGAGCTCAGGGAGCTGGCCCAGGCCCAGAGTTCAAGCCCCACGACTGAAAAGAAGTGGACTTCCCACCACAAGAAGTAGACTGAATAACACCTATTGTCCTAGGGAGCATGGCAGAGAAGTCAGGCTGAGCTTCCTGTCAGCTGGGAGTCATAAGTAGGTCACCCAGCTTCTCTGTGCCTCAGTTTCCCCAGCTTCAAATCTGAACAAAGTGAAGGATCCTGTTCCTCATGGGGATTGGGTATTAAAGAAAGAGAGTCGTGTTTTGTTTCATAATCCCATACCTGTCACAACATTAATAACACACACCATCTGAGATCTTTCCGGGTATTTTCTGTCAAATACTCACAGAACTGCCAAGAACCGTATCTAACAGCCCCTAACTCTGTGCCTGGCCCTGCTCTAGAGATCCCTCTGTATTAATAAATTGTTTTCTCAAAACTGTCCCATGAGGAGATTGAAGTCCAATGGTTGAGGCCCAACCCAGAGCTTCACCTGTGGTCAAAAATGGGCTGCTGTGGACTGAGTTTGTGACAGTCCATCTAAACCACTGACTGAGCGTGGCTCTACATGTCTACCATCCCAACTACAGAGGACTGAACCTGGTGGCTCATGTCTGTCACAGATAGGAGGACTGTGATCCACCCCAACCTGAGCATATATTAAGTCTCAGAAATGCCCAAGACAGAAAAGCTGGTAGAAGACCTGACTGGCAAGCCTAAGGCCTTGAGGTCAAACCCTAATATACCAAAAAGAACCAGAGTCCCAGTGCCAGAGGCTCATGCCGATAATCCTAGGTACTCAGGAGGGTGAGATCTGAAGATCACAGCTCAAGATTTAAAATAGGGTTGGCCTCACCCATCAGAGATCATGATTGGAAGACACAGAGTCTGACCTATGCTGTTGCACTCCATACTAGCAGGACTCATATCTTTACTAAATGTTGGCCATGCTCTCTGTCCTCCGGGGAAGCCATCCCCTGCAGGCTGCACTTCTAGGTCCTCCCAAGTTCCCACTGCCACCAACCAGGCCCAATGGAGTACACAGTTCCAGGACACACAGATCCCTTGTTCTTGTAATTTAATAGTGCTGTGTCCTGTTCAAGTGTCTCACCTTTCCAGGCTCCTAGACCTCAGCTATGAAGCCCATGCATGCCCAAAAGATAGCAGGTAGAAGTTACCAAAGCATTCAGCCTCCTTGTTACCACTCACTGCTACACACACAAACACACACACACACACACACACACACACACACACACACATCCAGACTGGTGACAGAAGACTCATCCATGCAACACCTGCAATTTGCCAAGTGATTACTCACCTGAGCACAGTCAGGCTGTACAAGGAGAAAGATGATCTCTCTCTCTGTCTCTCTGTCTTCAGGTGAAAGGATGACCGAGCACAGAAGACAAGGGTTCACACAGAAAGGGGGGGCCTATCTTCTGCATCCAATGCCTCCAATCCCCAGAAAAAGGGAAAAGACCCCAGAAGGCAGGTGTGGACATGCTGCTCCCCACCAGGTTCCCACCAGGGAAAGGAAGGGTGCAGATGTGCGGCTGTGTGGCTCCCACTGCTCCAGGTCAGGGGCTCTGTGGTGTCCACTAATCACCCAACCCTGCATCTCCCCATTTCCTGAGACACTAGACGCTGGAGATGGGGATGGGATCCTAGGGTTAATACCCACCCCCACTCCTGGGGCAAATTTATGGCAAGGCGTGGGCCAGACTGTGGGGCACAGAGGAGGCGCTGGTCCTGGTTGGGAGGGGGGGTGATATGGGGTTGCAGGGAGCGGGCCTGTGTGGCCGCCACTCACATGTGCTGCTGGCAAAATCTGTTGGCAGCTGCTCCAGGTGGGGAGAACAGCAATGGCAGTGGAATGGCGGACATCAGGTCCAGAGCAGAGGACAAGGGGGCCAGGACCAGGTCAGGGCCACAAGCTGGCTAGAGGTACACC